GCCCCGCCGCGAGTACAAAGCCGGCCGGCGGCCGCCCTGCCGCGCTGCTCGGTGCCGCGCGCCCGGAGCCCTGCTTTTGAAAAATGCCCTTTCGAACGCGAACGCCCGCCTCGGGGCTCCGCGGGAAGTTTGCTTCCTTCTTTCAAATAGCCCTGGCCACCTTAACGGTTGGCGCCTTCCGGAGTCACGCCCGCAACCTGACTGCCTCCCCGCTCCCCCCACATGGCTTGGGCAGGGCCGCTCCTCGTCCCCCGCATCCAGGACCCGCCAGCCCGTCTCTCCTCCTCTCTGCCTGCTCGTCCAGGAGGGCCGGCGGGGGGGCTTCCAACGGCTTCCTCTCCAGCTTTCAAAGGCTGCACATTTCACCGAACTATTTGAAGTATTTATAGGCAAATACAATGCGCAGGGAAGCTTCCCGCCCTGGGACTGCTCCTCCTTGCAACCTACCACACGGACTCTGTAATTAGAGTGGCCCGAGGAAACCAGGAGAGGCTCCATGACCCGGGTAGGCTCTGGCCAAGCCCTGCTGCGTCTCCTGTAGGCGCCCCTCCCTGTGCGTGCCTGGGAAGCACTGGCCCCACAGGTTCCCCGACTTTAATTCGCTCCAGGATTCCTCGCTGACTCAAAGTGTATGAGAATCCGAAGGAAACTGAGGGATGATCAGGCTGGCTAAACCTCGCGATTTATGCACGAGGAGTTTCCTCCTGTAGAGCTGCCTGGATTTGAGTTGGGCAAGTTCTTCAACCCTCCCTGCATCCTTATAGGGCTTCATGTTCACAGGTGTTCAGGTGGGGTTTTGGCCACGTTTACTTAATGCGCTGTTGTCTGGATTCAATGAGATGGTGTATGCCAAAGCAAGGGACCGATACAAGTTGGGTTTTATTTTCCCTATTATTAAATTGCAGTTGCTCCTCCATCGCCCCCCCCCATCTCTGTTTATAAACTGTCTCTCTTCTCTATCTCTGGGATACAGGTTTTCACTTTATGCTCATCCTATGGCCTGATTCACACTGCCGATGGCATTGATTTGTCATTATCCAGATGCTATGAACTGAATGTTTGTGTCCCCTTCAAATTCATATGTTAAAGCCTTTAATCCTAATGTGATAGTATTAGGAGATGGGGCCTTGGGGCGGTAATAAGGTCATGACAGTGGAGCCCTCATGATGGGATTAGTGCCCTCATTAGAAGAGACAGGAGGAGGATGATCTCTTTCTGCTCTGTGAGGACAGAGCCAGAGGGAGCCTTCTATAAACCAGGAAAAGGAACCTCACCAAGAACCTGACCGTGCTGGCACCCTAATCCCAGACGTTCAGCCTCCAGAACCGTGAGAAATAAATGTTTATTGTTTAGGCCATCCAATCTCTGGCATTTTTGTTATAATAGCCCAAGCTGACTAAGATACCAAAGGAATATCAAAGTTTTAAACAACCTCTGAAGCATTAACAAATGAGAAGATGCCTTCCTAGCTTGGTCTGCTTCCTCTCCCACCTTATCTCCCACCATTCTATGGAGTGATTTTCTACTCTGGTTAGAGCTTGAAATGCGTGGCCCTGTCTGTAAACCTGTTTCAGTAATCTTCCCTCTCTCTATAATTAAATCACACGTGGTTCATGCCACTGAACACTTTGCCCTTCGCCACTTGATGCCACCTCCTGTACTGTTACTTTGCCTTATTTAACCTGCTCTTTAGTGTTTCATGTATGTGTTTTCTTTTTAGAGAATAAACCCCTTCAAGTTGGGAACTGTGTTTTAACTTTCATCAGTGTCTCTCAATGTAGCGCCTTAAGAATGCTGTGACCAGGCCAATTGCTGTGGTTCAACCTGTAATCCCAGCACTTTGCGAGGCTAAAGCGAGAGGATTGCCTGAGCCCGGGGGTTCGAGACCAGCCTTGGCAACTTGGTGAGATCTAATCTCTACAATAAATCATAAAAACTAGATGGGCGTGGTGGCGTGCGTCTGTAGTTCCAGTTACTTGGAAGGCTAAAGCATAAGGATCGCCTGAGCCCAGCAGGTTTAGGCTGCAGTGGCCATGAATGTGTCACTGCACTCCAGCCTGGGCAACAGAGTGAGACTCAGAATCAAAAAAAAATGCTGTGAACAGAACAGCTACCCAAATTGTTACTGAATGGCATGTGTGAGTGGTGCTAGCATCACTTCTTAAGGAGGAGAGGTTGCCTTTTAGATTTAGTTAGAAACATAAGGACTTAGGAACTATTATGCCATATTAAACCTTGGGACTCTGCTGCCCAGAATTTTAGTTCTGGCCAATGCACAAAGGTTGTAGAAAGGTTTTTTAGTCTTCGATATCTAAAGGTCATAGAGATATTCCAAAGTATTCCCTTGCCCTGTTGCTGTGGTTTCTCAGAGTGTGGTCCACAGAGTAACAGCTGCATTACCTGGAAACTTGCTTGAAACCCACACCCTCGAATCAAAAGCCCTGGGGATGGGACTCAGCAATCTGTGTTTTAACAGTGTTTAACTCAGTGATTGTGATGCTCACTAAAGTTTGAGAAGGTCTGCCTTAATGATATCATGCTTTCAGAACACTTCCAGAGCTTCTTAAACCTTAGTATGCATAAGAATCACTGGAGATTTTGCTAAAATACAGACTCAGCTTCTGTGGGTCAAGGACATGGCTGAGATTCTGCTTTCTGAGTAAGTTCTCTCAATGCACAAGCTGGTGGTCTGGAGATCACACATTTGAGAAGTCAGGTTAAGCCACAGCAAGCAAAAGGATCCCATCTCAAGGGCCCTCTGCAATCAAGTGACTTTCTGTCACACTGTGCTGAAAGGGATTCTGAGGGTGCATCTGTCTAGTTGGAAACAGTTGCCAATCCCCAACCATTTTGGCATCAGGGACTGGCTTTGTGGAAGACAATTTTTCCACAAACTAGTGGAGGTAGGGGATCACTAGGTATTAGATTCTCATCTATGAGAACGGGCAACCTAGACCACTCGTGTGCATAATACAATTCATGCTCCTATGAGAATCTAATGCCACCACTGATTTGACAGAAAGTGGAGCTCCGCTGGACCGCCGCTTACCTCCTGCTGTGCGGCCCAGTTCCTAACAGGCTACAGATGGGTACTGGTCCACGGCTTGGGGGTTGGAGACCCCTGGTCTAATCAATAATGTCTGCCATGGGCATAGAAATGGAGACAGTGACATACATACAATGTATTTGCCAACTTTGATTTCCTGTTTAAATCATATTTGCTGCCAAGTTCATTTTGGAGGTTCTGAGACCCTCAAATATGCATAAATATTTTAAAAAGTGTATTCTTTTCTTTGCATTAAAAGTACTTCTTTCCAATGTTCCACATATTCTATGATTTGGTAAACATATGAGCATTTACCTCAACCCTGTGTGATTAATATAACTAAAATCTGATGATTCCTCATCTTGATGAAAGATCTTTCACTTGAAGACAAGTGAGTCTTTTAGTCTGTTTCCAAATTCCTTTTCCTGCCTCTTTGTCCCTTTAATAATCTTATTTGCTCTTCCCTGGAACTTTAAAAAAAAATCTTCCTTTATATCTTTCCTATAAACCTTCATTTTTCTTATTTAAAGCAAAATCATGTATCCTCCTAACCAGACAAGGGGTGGGGAAGCTATTTTTCCCCTGGGGAAAATTAGATAATTACAAGTTTCCTCTTTAAGTAAGAGCTTCTCAAATTTTAAAAATGGCCTATAAGTTTACTACTTCTACATGATGCTGTGTTAACATGAAAGAAGGCATTTTAAATCAATATGCTTGGCAAGCGTTGGCAGCTAACGGAAGTCACTGGTTCAGAGAATGGCAAGCTGCTCTGGAAAGAATGTACTATCCAAGTTTTAAAAAAACTTTTATACATTTATTTTTATTATATGCACTATGGAAAAAGATATAGATATGAAACAGCCCGCCACTGTAAATTCCAAATTTGACAGCCCTTCTCTCTTTTTCTTCTGGGAATCACCTGAGTGTCAGTGAGAGGCCAATTTGAAACTTATTACCCAAGCTCTCAGGACCACTGCATCATCCTAAGAGTTTGAACAGTTCCCTGGTTGTAAAAGCCATCCTCAAATCAGGAAGCACCAGCTGCACCCCTCTCTGACCCTCCGCATCAGCCGCTCGTGATTAGTTGAGTGTGAATTGGGTTTCAGAGCTGACCTGCGAGTGACCAGGCCCCATCAACCCATCCTTCATCTGAGTTAAAGATCCCTGTCTGCCTGACCTCCCAAGAAGACAGTCCTGTGAAGAGCCTGGAACATCTAAACTCCAGCCTGTCATTAAGAAAAAAAAGCAAGAATCTGGGAGAAAGGCCTACAATCCCTTCCAGATCGTCAACTGTACAAGATAAGGGGAAATGTTGCAAGTCTCTGGAATAATATAAAAAGTGAAACATTTATGAGTTTATTTAGGAATTTTAAAAAAATCACACTAGCTTATTTTCAAAAATGCGCGTTTCCTTA